TTTGATATGTGGATAGTTGCAGCATTATAAATCCGCGATAACCTTATCCTAATTAAATAATGCTAGTTGTTACTGAAGTGAGGGTTGAGCTTAAAGCATTTAATGAAGTTCAGTGCTAAAACACAAATACCTCTAAAAGTAACAAAGGTACCGAAAGAACTTTACCCATACTAACTTCGAGGTGGTGCCGCCTCAATAGAGAGTTGTAGTTTCTCTCTTAAAAGTTTGTCGAATAGGATGAGCGTAAGGCCATAAAAGCGCTAAGCGAGTTGAGGAACTTGAGAACACATGATACTTATGTGTGTGTTCTTACCGGTATTGTCACAAGGAATAATTGGTTCAAAACTTTCATGCTACCTCTAATTCCGACTTTACTTTGTTTGAATTACACTATGATTAGATTCAAATCGAAAAATATCTAATCCTTATGCACAAGTGTCGTCTTTTTGAATATGTGATCTTATTGATTTTGAACAAGTGAGGGATTGTTGAATATTTGTTCAAAATTAATGGAATGATAATGGACTAATTGTTGGACTCAATTGTGGAATTGGTAGAATCAAAAGAAATTGAAAAATGAAAAAAATTGATTTTTGCCTATGCGTACGCACAGACTTATTTTTGTACGTATGCGAGATGTGATTTGGCAAAATAAGAATTGATTTTGCTTCTACTATGCGTACGCAGGGTTTATACTATGCGTACGCATAGTGTTAAAAAATAGCCGTTGGCTGATTTTTCAATTTGAAACTTGGGAGCCGTTTTGGATTAAAAATTACCACTTTTCATCTTATTTTGGCACCATTTCGTGAAGCTTTGATTCATGGCTATAAATATGTGTTTGTTGGACATAAAAAACACATGAAAATCAGATTACAAAACATATGGTAATATGTCATCATTCCACAAGAAAGAAAAATCCTTTCTTCCTCCACATTCATATATTCCCTTTATGTTTTTCAAATTCGGGTGGAGAAATGCTTGTGCTTTTGTGTTTCTCTACGTCAAGGCTTGATCAATCCTTCAAGCCGTTTGCCGCGAGATCCTTTAAGCACCAACATTAATACCAAGAGGGGGCAAATATCGTTTGAGGACAACGATGTAACGTCGTGTGTGAGCCTTCCATTTTCGTCATGATCTTGATTCGTTTTTTCATCCTCTTGATTAATTTTCTACATTGTTTCTTCTCCAACCCCAGTGGTGGATTTAATTTCCCAACAATAAATATTTCCTACTTTTATACTGGTAGCATTACTGTATCATTCTTTTCTTTTCTTTCCCTGATGGTATTATCATTATTATTTTTCTTTTTTACATGTCATATATTGAAACCAATTCACTTGCTAGTACTATCTAGGGCAAATAATTATATTTTGTTTGGACTATATGAAAATGATTTAACTTTCGTTTTTCTGTATAGTTAGTTAATCAGCGTTTTACTGTACTATCTCTGTTGCACTTTTCTGTGCTGTTGCTCTCAGAGAAATTTTTTTAAAATTTGTAGAATTTGGGTTGATGGAGAATCCCAAACTTGCTGCCTCACAGGTCAATCTGCATTCATATCAGCATTTGGAGCATGAAATTGAAATCCAAAGGAGACTTCAAAGGTCTGGTTGATTTCTTCTCCAATGCCTATTCAAATCCATGGAATTTGGGCAAATGAAATGTCAATTTTGGAAAGTTGGAGGTAAAGCAAGTAGATTTGTTATGATTTAATTAGAAATTTAACATTTGATTTAATTACAGTGCTATATTATGCCAATAAATTAGCATATGTTTGGCAAGCATTTTAAACGGATAGAAATAATGGTAGATAATTGGGTAGCAGAAATGGTTCACAATTGATTTGTACCATTTGAAATATATTGATAATTGGGTAGCAGAAATGGTTCACAATTGATTTGTACCATTTGAAATATATGGTATATGACACATACTATATTTCCCGCGCTACATAAAAAGAGTTTCTTTCCAATACTGTTCACAATTTCGTACCTTGCCTTCACCCTTGTTATTGTTATATTTTTAATTTTTGTTCGGTGCAGTAAGTACAAAATGGTGTCGTTGCTCTTTCCGTATTTTACTTCATTTTTTCTTTTTTTCTATTTCCTTACTTCTCTCTTTCATGCTCACGCAATTGAAGTTCTGGCTAAGGCATTTCTTGTACTTCGTTCTGTTGTTATGTGTTCATCTAAGTTGCGATTGAAGTCCCATACAGTGGAAGGCTCCTGATAGTGTCAGAATTTCTGTGTGAAATCTGTGTGACATTCAACTGATTTGTGTAACTAAACACTTCATACGTTGTGTCTCTTATTTTCTAATTGAAAATTCATCAACGCGTAACTTGTTCCCTTCTATCAGTAAAAGAAGTTGATTTATTCAGAATATCTTTTTCTTGTAAAGTAAAAAGAGCTTCAAACTTTGAAACACTACATAAACAATTTTTTATACAAAAGATGTCTGATATATTTTCGCAAAAGTATTAACGAAATATAAGAAACTTAATCTTTGTTGATTATTACTTTCTTGTGTGAAGGATTTCGATAAACGGCAAAATATACATTTGAAGTTGATGTCTTCACTGGCAATAGTGATTGTTTTCTTCTTCATTATGAACTAGGTTACTGTTTTGCAGAGCGCTCTAACTTTTTCTTCTTCCTTCTTTAAAGCAGATCATGAAAGCCTTATTATGGCTAGTGCGGTTTATCACTGGCGTGGTTTGCAGGCTATTGCGTCAACTCGAAGGTTTGCCCAGTGCGCACCTGAAGGGTAGCGGTTGCGGTTCCCCTCTCATAAAAAAAGAAAAAGGAAAAAAGAAAAATATATAATACAAACCTCAATATTATGCAAGAGATGGAAAAACATCTGGACTGGGATTTCCAACATTGATTTAAGAGATTTAGATGATAGAACGAAGAGTGATTACTTAGAGCGTCGGGCTTCCTTATTGGATTCAGTGGAAAGACCACTTCTCCAGCATGATGATTCAGATATCGAAAGACTTCGTCTTTCATTTAAAATACCGGTGAATCCTACCTTTGTTCATTCATGGATTTCTACTGCTATAAAACATATTATTAGAAAGCTTGATATTTCCCTACATTTAGATGCAAATATTTTTTACCTCGTCACCTTTTTACTTGTGAATCCCTAATCGAGTTAAGACTACATATGATCTGCAATTTTTGTCCTTGTCTAATTCATTGACCAAATTTAAAGGAACTGCATATTTCCCAAGTAACAGTTTTCAAAGAGAGTTCCACACAGTAACTTTTCTCAAGCTTCCCGTTGCTTCAAAAACTGGTGTCGGTGAATTGTAGAATGAGTTCCGTGACAGTTATATTCCACGTGTGCGAGTCAATTTCTATCAACAACCGACTTGGGATTCCTTTTCATTTGCCCATATTACCCATTTTCCACGTTTGCATGTTTAAATTCAATTTTACTTTGATTTTGAGCTCAACAAAAAGTAAATAGAAATTTTCACCTCAATCTTTTTTTTATTCAATTTTCAAATTTAACTTAAAAATCACTTCATTGTTAACATAATAATGTTATACATCATTTTCTATAAGGTCAAACGATTTCAATTTTAATTAGCCAAAATCAATTTGTATATACTTCGAATTCGTAGTATGAAAATTTAAAAAAATAAAAAATAAAAAATTGTTGTTATTGTATTTTATTATTGTGTATTTAGTTATTGCATCCAGTTCAATCCCGGTTGAAACTTTTGACCCTTGAGCTTTTCCAAGTAGATGCTCGGGTCGGTTTTCAAAACATTGATAAAAGCTAAAGAGAAAATTACCTAGAAACCTACTTTTAAAGTTAATTTTAAAATGTGATTTTTAAATGGAGGATTTACGTGGTTTTCCCAAAGCTAAATATGGGCAGGAAGCTCCAATACTTATGCTAAAACTTTGAAGAATTCAACTGTTATACGTAGGTTGTGGTGCATTTTCCCTACAATGCATCAGACTACATGGGAAGGCTAGAGGACTTCGAAAACCAGCTACTTTATCTCAGAGAATTGTGTCATCGAAGTCCTGGACCGGCCTCTAAAGGCTACATTGATTCAAGATTCAATGAAATAGAAGACATCATATAGCGTATCTTTATCTTTGATTTTTGTATTTATAGATATTATTACTATTCTAGAATTTTTTTTCACTTTCAGATATCAAAAGGCTTCGTCTTTCATTTGTGAAGTGGGTTAATCCGTCCCACGTTAAATCATTGATATCCACTACTTTATAGCCCAATGTGTCCCCAGCTTTAGGACAAAGATTTATTTTATCTTGTCACCGTTTTACTCATGAATCACTGAGTAAATACTAGAAATGAGCTGCAAGTTAAAAGTTCCCAGTTTGATTCATTTGCTGAATCTGAAGACGCTGCGTGTTTCACTATGGTTATATTTGTCGACAAAAGTTCCACACAAAAGCTTTTCTCAAGCTGCCCATTGCTTCAGGAACTTGTGTTGGTAGATTGCGGATGGTAAAATAGGAAGCATATCAGCATTTTGATTCCCACTAGGAGCTGCCTATTTTTTCAGCGATGTCCAGATGTCATAGTTAACGACGATTTACTTGATTGTGTAATAAGAGTTTGTGCAGCAAAAAATTAGGGTGTGTTATCTTTGCCGTTTTCTATTTTCGATTTTCCAAAACAGTGAAAACGCAAAAGTGTCGTTGAGATAAATTCTTCTCCCACGGCTGAACAAGAAATTCAGCTGTTTACTAGAATTAAACAATGCCATAAGGTGAAACTGCTGCTGCCTGATCCAGGAACTTGAGTACCCAAGTCTGGTGTTTTTTCAGCGATGTCCAGATGTCATAGTTAACGACGATTTACTTGATTGTGTAATAAGAGTTTGTGCAGCAAAAAATTAGGGTGTGTTATCTTTGCCGTTTTCTGTTTTCGATTTTCCAAAACAGTGAAAACGCAAAAGTGTCGTTGAGATAAATTCTTCTCCCACGGCTGAACAAGAAATTCAGCTGTTTACTAGAATTAAACAATGCCATAAGGTGAAACTGCTGCTGCCTGATCCAGGAACTTGAGTACCCAAGTCTGGTTATTAATTATTATTCCAAACATCTTGCATTCAGTTTTCACAAGTAGAATATGTCATTTTCATAAATATGCACATATATGCTTCACGTCTCTACACATTTCCAATAAGGAACCAATTCTATGCAAAAATATAAACCTCGTCGTAACCCTTCCTGCAAATATGACAGAATATGGAAGCTAGTTAATGCTCATTCAAGCAAATGGGCAGAAAAATTAGTACCTTCCAACACACACACGCATGGAGACGGGAGACAGGATGGTGGTGGTTGAATTGAACACTTACCCAGCCTTTCCACAATACGTGGGACTGTAATTATAAATGAGGTTGTCAAGAACTTTTCGAGCACATGGTCTGTTCATGGACTTCCTAGCCTCCCTGCAAGAATTGATTTTAAAGGTAAATGCATGTAGTTATTGCAGTATATAGATACACATGTTCTAAATAACCACACAATTACAGATACAACCAGTACATGTATATAGGAAAATACTGAGCAATTGGATCGAATAAGATTTAATTTGTGGCTCTTTTTCTGACTTCTTAAACAAGGTAGAGACCTTTCTGAAACAGTCTTAGGCTACGGATTAAACTAGATTGCTGCTATGCTTTACTCCAGTGATTATATAGATTGCTAAGCTTCCAACATGTCAAATTGACCAGATACGTACCCAATGAAGTAGTTTGCAACATGCTGAGTCACTTGAATTGCATCATCTGAGTGGGGAATCATTGATAAGCCCCATTCGAAAGCATTTTTCTGAAATGGAGAAAAGAATTTGTACATCGAATCAAGAAAGTGCAGTTTTTACAAATACAAACATGTTTTTCGCATGCATGTGTGAGTCACTATCCAATCGCTTTCTAATACAGCAAAGCTGCAATTTATGCAAGGAAATATGTGCATGTGTCCATGCGTTGAGAATTAAGAACCACATGCTCTGAAAATTTGGTACATAAGCATAACACCAAACAATAAATACAGCCTTGGACCAAAACGTGGAAGAGCAAAAAACTGCAAGCATGCAAGTCTAACGGCCTGTATTGAACTGTGTTCCATAAGAGCAGAACTCAGATGTCACATCGAGTTTCTTTTAAAATTAAAATCAGGATCCTATCATTGAAGCAGGGACGTAGACCAAAAAAAATGCTGGAAAGTGATGAAATTTGTACCTAATTTTTCTTTATGCGATTCTGTAAATTCATAGTAGTATCCCAACAAACCAGATGTGAAGGAAATTTGCACCAATAAAAAATAAATAAAAAAAATAAAGATACTCATTTTATGCGTAAAAACAAGAAATAGATTCTGATTTATTTTTCCTTACTCTTATTCAGCCCTTGTTTGGGTTCCATTTAATGAGGTTTTAGGGAAAAATGTATTTTGGAATGGTAATTTTTTTTTTCGAGAATGTCTGCTTAAAAAGAAGGAAAAGTTTTCGGTTTGTGTAATATTATTTTATTGAAAAATGTGTAGTTGAAAAGAAGGAAGAGAAAAATGCATTAAAATTAATATAGAGAACAAACAGGGGCTCAATTTCATTCCATAATTACTACTATTTAAAATTTAATTTTGTTATTTTGGCAGCTTTTTATATTTGTTAAGAATTTTTTAAGCAAAAAAGACTACTTCAAATGATGTACACAATTAATTTGAATATTCATTGATATTAAAATTATTCTTCCTACAAGCCCTCCCTCAAATTCTCAATTTTTTCTCTCTGCATTTATGGATCATTAATTTTTTTGAGAAAAAGCAAAAATGAAAAATGACTACCTACTTCAAAAAGTAAGTGTTAAATGATATTTCCCTATGAAATTAGGAGATGAAAACAACATATCTATTGATCGTAAAAAGATTGCAACCTTTCCGTTTCCCATGAGTTACAGAATGTGTAAGAAGAAATGATAAGTTTATCTACTGTTAAGAGTAAAATCACAAGTCACGTGAATATGAAAATAATAATAAGAAGATAAGGGCTTGGGTTACTCCCTATTAAGGTTCACCTCTTGAGATTGAAAACCATGACCCCATGACCTTTTTATTGCTTTTTATTTTTCGTCTTTTAAGTTAATGCATTGTGTTAATTATATGCATGTCGAGTGGTACGACTTACTATGTTCCCTCTAATTAGGTGTGCTTTTGCTATTAAATCAACAATATTCGCTCATATGATTAAAGTTCACTTAAAAAATTGATACTTGTCCCCCCTATTGTTAAATCCTGGCTATGTCCCTCGATGAACGACACCAGGGTTTGTTTCATACCAAGCAAATGGGAAGTAAGGCAATAACAAAGGTTGAAATATACAGCAAGTATGGTGAACAGAACTGAACATAAAGATTTGGCCCTATGGGCAACATGTAGATATATGAATGAAGATAATACCTCAGGGTGCCACTGAACAGCAGTTACTGGATATCTGTGCGCCTTAACTGTAGAGACGTAGACCTGAAATAAATGAATTGGAAGTAATGAAAATGTGCTCAAAATCACATATTAGATGACTGTAATGAGAGTTTGAAATTAATACACTATAGAAGTGGTTCGCTCTATACCTTGTTATCGGTATCTTCACTGGTTGTCAAGATCTCAAAGAAACTACATAATTTCCCATCTTTTAAAAATTTCTCTGGTGATATTCCATACTGTTTCACAAGAAATTCAACAGTCATACATATTCTTTGCGCAGGTGCAAATTAGCGTGTCGAAAACAGTCTAATACAAAGCCCACCATCGCGGTTTCAAAATTGAAACGAAGACAAAACCATAGCCCATGAGTAGAATTCAAGTACTACACTTGCAACTAATTAAGTTGCTTCTCATAACTAATTTATTAAAAGCAACAGAATTAACTAGGAGTGGAATTTTTTTAGCAAAATAGGGACCATTCTTCCACTGCAGCATCTGATGGTAATCAAACAGACCACAATTCACTCCAATAAAGCTAGAAACCATATCGTTCACTTTATTCAACCTGGTCCTTGATATGTGGAATACCCAGCAGATAATGCTCAAGAATGGATTATTAGAGGATTACATATATGGTTCAGCCAGACTACCATCTCTGAGAAGGTACTTGGTGAACTCTAAGCTACAAGACAAGGTTTCTAACATAGAAAGTCCTTTTCACTAAAAGAGGTTGAGTAATGTTAAAGCCAGTTGATGGAAAATTTATTTTTGTTGATGGCACATAAATAGTCATGTTTTTAATTTTTTTTATTTTTCCACCCAAGAGAGAATATTGCAGCCCCCCACCCCATCCCCCTCCCCAAAGAAAGCCACACACATCAAAAGAACACAAAACAACAACGAACCATGCCTAATTCTAAACTTGAGGCAGCTATATGAAAAAGAGGAAAAGTGCCCCGTTTGCTACTTGATAAATCCATAAATGGTTTATTGGAATTTTCTCTCCACTATTGCGGCATGATCATAAAAGCTATGGTTGACAAGGCCAGTTGATTTTTCATGGCTCAAATGTGGTGCATGATTACTATATTTCAAAGCAGCTTAGGTGTGGGCTTTTGGCACAGTTCTCTTAAACACACCATCAAATGGCCAAAGGATTGGAAAGGTGGAAGCTTAAGAGCCTTCCAGAACAGAGTTTTTTTCACTAACACGGTCTAAAATACCAAAATTTTACAGTCCAGAGTAGAGGGCACTGTTGGTCCTGTGGGACCCATGACAGCAGTAATCAAGAAAAGGGGACTACAGATTCAAAACTGAAAACAAGTCAAAATGTTCATCACACATTGCCATGAAAAGGAAAACCCATTTACATGATGATTTTGCATTACAAGGCAATCAGTACTCAGCTTCTTTAGCAAAGCCGGAGGGAACCTGCAAAGAAAATAAGAAAGATCTTTTATTCACAACTCCAGCATCTAATAGAGTGGTTTAATGAAGACAAATAATTCGTCAAAGTGGCCAGGACCACAGTAAAATAGACCAGACAAGAAACTAGAATATCTAAAATGGTAGGAATAGAAGAGAGGCTCTCAAAATTAGAACCTCTGAACACACAAGTGAAGAACCCAAAATAGCTGAATTGATCACATTAATGCAAAAACTAAGAGAAAAATGCTAATGTAGCTATAGCTATTCAAACCTAAATTTACGACAATCCAGAAAATGAAATCCATACTCAAATGAATACCGATAAATATCCAAAGGTCAATAATTAGCAAGAGAAAATAATTGTCAGGTTAAATCATAAACAAACCCATCAGCAAAGGAAGACAAGTAAGTCAAAAGTCAGACAGTATGTTCTACTAGAACATGTGTGGAAAATAGTTGTAAACGATTTAAACTACGAATACATAGAAATTAGTGATGGAGAGTGGGTAGTAATTGTGGTCCCTTGAAATGTATGGATAAAAAGTGAATAGTGTTTATAAAAATTAACCAACCATAGGCTTATTTTGATATATGACTTCCCTCAGTTTTCAATCTCTTAACCAACATTTATAAAGAAATAGAATAATAATTTTCTCTGTCCATTAAAATGTTATTTCCCTTAGTTTTCAAATCTCTTAAATGTTTAAACCTAAAACTATACAAGCACATTCAGGACTTAGAATTTTACTCCAACAGTGTGTTTGTTGATTGCTGATTGCCGGCATTTTTAGATTCCGTATTTCCAAAAAAAGGCATCCTAGAAGTATTCTTAATATTCTAAAGTATTTGTCAATTTCAAAACTACATAGTGTCCCATAATTCTATTCTGTTTAAGCTTATTCTTCTTGTGGATTTTCATTTTGATAGTATTAATCTATACATAGTTCGTCTAATTTGCACAAGGTGAACCATTTCTACAATTAAATTTTCTACAAATCAACTGAGTGGACCAGCAGGAGACCCTGACCAAAACCCAATAAGATATGGGCCTGGCCCAAGACTAATAGGTCTTAGGGTCTTGTCCTGACCCATCAAATTTTCAGCCCAGTTGACAAAGGAGCAGACTACGAGATCAAAGATTCATTTTTATTTCCAAAAATCACTATCTTTAGTATTTGAATGAATGGGAAACGAATTAGGGACTATAATAGTGAACATTGCTACTGTTGGGACTAATTAAGAATTATTATATACTTCAGGTACAGCAGATGCAATGCACCTCAACAAATGATTCGAAGTACAACAAGTTAAAGGTTTGACAAGCAAGATTAAATTCCATATCATTCAAACGAATTATGAGCAGCAAGTCAGACCACGGTTGATATGACAGTATAATTTTATTATCAAATTAAATGTGATAATTAATACCTCTGAAATACAGTTCCATTAATATCTATGTTTCTCGTGAATTGCAATGTAGACGCTTGATCTGCTGCATTAAATTTTTCCAGTATGTTGTTGTCCTATTACCAATAATACAAACAAAAGTGTTATCAACATGTGGAAGCACATTAAATTAATTTTAAGGGAAAGGGAAAATAATATGAGGAAAACAGACCCATCTATGCAAAAGGCATCACAAAAAAGAGAACTCTCAAGATATGTAAGTGTTATTTGAATCATTGAATGGCATGTATTGAAGTTATGATGAAGCGATTAGGTGCACCATGGTTCGTTGTGATTGTTATAAAACATGAATTTTTGATAAGAATAACGATGACAAAATGTTGCTCCACCATATTATGTATTCAAAAAGTATCTCATTATTTTCTACAAAGTCATTTGTTAGTAACAAATCTACGACTTAGCATAACAATTTGTAGACAACCAACCCTTACATCGTTTCAACACAACCAGTCAAGGCAAAGAAGTTTTTGCAATTTTATTAAAGAAGAACCAACTGGAAACACCCCCCCCCCCCCCCCGGGGCCNCCCCCCCCCCCCGGGGGCACTTGACAGCTCTCTCTCTCTCTCTCTCTCCGCCTCCTGCAAGTTGGGGGAAATTGGTGGAGGGCAAAGAGAGAGTTCAATATAAAGAATTCTCACTAGTCATGCATATCTCCACGCAGCTTACCTGGCTGACAGCCATTGTTAATAATTCAAATCCTAAGCAGATGGCAAGCAAAGGAAAATGGTCTCCTGCATCGTTCTTGCTCAAAACATTCTGCATGAAAGAGGTCGGCAATCATAACTACATGTCCTTGAATTATGCAGGGGAAGGCAATGTCACAAGAGCACATTATTTCTTGTTTCGTCTGCACGTGGTAGAGCGTTAGATGGCAATGTACCTTAAAAATTGACTCAACAACTTCGAAATAGAGACCACTCTTCGCCCATCCTCCAGTGAAGAGCATTCCATTAACCAAATTTAGTTTCTGCAATATAATTTGTAAATTAACAGATTCTGAAGATGGCAATGTAATATTTCACGATAGAGCGTGAGATGGCAATGTAATATAATTTGTAAAATACACTTTCCGTGTATTATCCTTTGATTAATAAAACTATCTGATTACCCATCAAAAAATAAAATAAAAATTAACTGCCTTCTTTACTCTGCACAGTGAACACCTTTTAGGACAAAGGTATCCTCACTCCAGAAGAATCAACATATTTCAACAGAAGATGCCTGGACTAAATGCTGAGAAGCACCAATAGATAAAAGGCAGAAACACTGAGTGGATATACAAGAACTGATAAATCTGAAGGGGCTGTAGACAAGCATTAGCATAGAACCTCTTAATCAACACAAAAGAAAACACAAATATCTAATGGTTGTTTCCTTCAGAAAATACCCCAATTTACCTTTCTTATAATTTTGCATGTCTGCTAGTGGTTTGTTTTCTTTACACACAACCTAGAGACTAATTAGGCAAAAAGATCTTTAAAGGTTTTCAACGGTAAATTTTGTCTGCCTAGTAAAAATTATTTCATTTGGGTTAGTATGACTAAATATATCAATCAAAAGGAAATGGCAGAGAACTGATCTCTCTCTTTTTCTCTATTAGCAAAACAAAATCAAATCTAAAAGTTTTTCAAATAGCATTCGAATGATATTTTTTATAATGAACCTAAAGGAGATCAATAATGTACATTTTACTTCGTATCATCTTTATCATTTTGGGTTCAAAATCTAACATTATAAGTCCAAATAGAGCTTAAACGAAGAAAAAGTATTCTCTGGAAACAGATAAAATGTATTTTTAACTTTTAGTCTTAATTCTAGAAGCAAAGCAGAAACTTTAAAAAACAAAAAGAACAGAAATTATAAAATCGATATGCCAGTAGAAACAAGTTTTGAACTTCCCTTAATTCCTGAATAGAAGAGCTATTAATGGTATAGATTTTTCCTCACTATCTCAGAAACGCAAAAACTGTTAAAAAATAGTTGATTCTTATTTGTTCCTGTTGGTTTTTTGGTAGATTCAAAAGGAACAAATAAGAATCAACTAAGACTCTAGTTAACAAATACTAATGTACTACTGTTGCCACTCAAATGATATTAATCAAGCAGGTTCAAGAAGAAGAGGGGTTTTACTTCATATAGAATCTTCCGGGGTTCATTGTAGATAAGAGGAATGACCCTAGCACCAGCTGATTCCACAAATTTTACGTACGAGGCAGCAATATAGGATGCGTTCGTGGCGTTATTCAGGCGGCCCGAGGCACCATCTCCAGGATGGCTGAGAATCCCTATAACCGGACGATAGTTAAGACGAGGATCCGCTGCGGGGCACCGTTGGATTCTCGGAAACGCGTCGGACTCACTCGGCAAGAGTAGTGGCACATCTGATTGAGCATTAGCAGCAGCGGTAAGCTCTTTCGAGAGAGCAATCAAAAGGGCGACCCAGAGATAGTTCAACATGTCCGACGAAGCTGAAGAAGAGATGACTGACGGTACGAGATAAGGTCTGGGGGAAGTTGTATTGGAAGAGGAGGAAATTGCTGAGCTAGTGGTGGCGGAAATAGTGGGCGGCGGCGGAGGAGGTGGTGATTGTTGAGCCATTGACGGATAGGGTGAAAAGAACTGATTTTGACATGGAATGAGTGTGAATGGAGGCAGATTTTTTCGAGGGATTTGGTTACTATTCAGAATTATTCACAACTAATGCGCTGTTTTCAGTGTTTTGACAGTTTTGTGCAAGAGTGTACGGAACTTTCGGCAGGAATTGGGTGGTAATGACGATGGTTATAGGGGGGTCCGTGTGGGAGTAGTGGTGGTGGTTGACAGACTTTTTTCACGAAGAGATGAATTATCGGTAGGTACAAATGAACAATCGTCTGGACATTTATCTTTAATTTCTATTTCTTGGCTACACTATCCTTAACCTTTTGTCATCGGCGTCCGCCATCCTATTGTCTCCTTGCAAAGAGGTTGAGATTTGGCAAGCGAGTAAAATAGAGTCCACGATATATTGGACCTCTGAGATTGCTGAGCGGATTGGTCTAATGGCATATCGATTGGATCTGCCAACTGAATTATTGAGAATTTATAATATTTTTCATGTCTCCATGCTCTGTAAGTACATTGCAGATCCTTCTCATATTTCAGGAGTCTCAACCACTTCAATTGAAGGAAAATTTGACTTACATAGAAGAGCTAGTGAGAATTTTGGACAAAAATGTGCAAATTTAACGAAACAAGACAGTTTCACTGGTTAAGGCACTTTGGCAGAATCAGACAGTAAAAGAGGCTATATGGGAGAACGAGGATCAAATGCATACTCAATATCCTCATCTATTCAGTGTCCAGTCAGTTGTCAATTGAATTTCGAGAATGAAATTCTTTTAAGGATGTAAGATTGTTACACCTCATTTCCTAATAGTCAAAAGTCTATATTATTTATTCAAAATCAAGAGTTTGACTAGTCAAAGTCATAGTCAAATAAGGAATTAAACGAAATAAATGATTTTATTGGGGTTTATTGTATAATTTAAGATACTTAGTGGTTCAAAATGGATAAAATTTAAAGTCAGGGATTTATTTTCCTATTTTTGGGAAGTAAAAGATTTAATACTAAGGCAATGTTTGATAGCATGGAATTATATGGAATTGGAATTCCAATTCCATCTTTTCTATTTATTTTATTTTATTTTATTTTATTTTTATTTT